GCCACAGCGGAATGAACCGCCAACTTATCCAGCAAGTTTTTTTTTTTTTTTTTTTTAACGCAGCGGATGCCCTTCCAGCCGCAACCCATCTCTGGGAAACATCCACACACACATTCATACACTACGGACAATTTAGCCTACCCAATTCACCTGCATGTCTTTGGACTATGGGGGAAACCGGAGCACCCGGAGGAAACCCACACGAAGGCAGGGAGAACATGCAAACTCCACACAGAAACGCCAACTAAACCGAGGTTCGAACCAGCGACCCAGCGACCTTCTTGCTGTGAGGCGACAGCACTACCTACTGCGTCACTGCCTCGCCCTCATGAGTAGCTGTATAGCTATATTTATAAACTGCTTACTAATGTCTTTTAACATGGAGTTAATGCTTAAATTATGAATAAACTATTTACTAATGCTTAGTAAATGATTCATAGTGTGCAGTTATTATTAAACTGTCAGTGTTTTGTTAAAGTCTTTCAGATCCTGTTACACTCAATGACCTCCAACAAACTCAAGTCAACTGCAAGTGTTTGCTGAAGCACTTAAAGCCACTTAAACACGTTCACAGCTTCATTCCTTTGAGGACTGAGGTTTGTTTCCACCACAGTAATGCATTGGGAGTATGTAGAACAGGACTATGTGCTTATTTTAACTCATACCACCTTGAAGTGTGTACTTTTTGCGATTAAAGGGTTCATGCACTTTTAAATGTGCAGCGCGAGTATGCAAGCTTTGGGGCAAACTACTTCCTCATTAATGGACCGTTAGTACAGTATGTTGCTTAGTTACATGCCTGTCAATCATCCTGTCATCATCTACATTCCTTTCATATTCAATTTCCTACCATACAGCGGCAGCTTAATCTGTCTTTCAGGCTGAGAAATCTCCTTAAGTGTTTGCAGAAGTGTGCATTCAGCAGTTAATGTCCAAACACATCTTTAAAAAAAATTATCACAAATGTGCGCTCATTTATGTGTGATGTTTTTAAGAAACTCACAAAAGTAATCATATATTTCTCAACTCAAATGAATACCTGTAATACGTTTGCATGCGTCACAACTTAAGCGGAAAGTGCACGGCTAAATGATGCACCTTTTGATTCGGATTAATGTTTGAATGCTGGTTAGGATAAAGAGTATGCAAATTGGGATGCAGTTATGGAGTGTTTTTGTGCCATACACATCTCTCCGAGAGCCAGACTCCGGGACAAAGGCTCTCTGTGGTGCGAGTCCTGGCCCATGACCATGGTAATATCAAAACTTCACCCTCGCTCCAAAAGCAACTCTGGCAGCTGCGCCTCGGCCTCCACCAAAGATGAGATTTCCAGCAGGTCCCCGGATGACTGAGGATCTGTCCTAATGCAGCGAGGCAGGCTGGGGAAGAGAAGGCGTCGCTCCTAGCGGATAAACACTGATGCAGAGTGGTGTTTCTGAGCGAATCCAGCCGGCAGAGATCAACACTCTTTACAGGAGGCCGGATCAACAGATCATCCATTAAACACTTCTGAAAATCAGACACTTTTAACCAGAGTCGCTGTCAGAAGGGAATTCCTTAAGATGCTTAGGAGTTGCGTTACTCGAGTGAACAGTGACTGAGTCTCAACAGCTTTGCCTTTATGCTTCAGATGGGCAATAAATCAAAGACTGAATCTCTTTCTATAAACTGACTCAGATACAGAAAAGTGAAATTCTCTACAGTATCACTGTGATATCCCTCAATACTCTGATTATATTTAATGGTTTGTACTTTGTAAGTTAAAGGGGGCCTATTATGCAAAAAACATTTTATAAGGGGGTTTACACACAGTTTTGTGGCAGCAGTGTGTGAATATAACCAGCCTCTAATGATAAACATTAATACTGTTATTTATAATCTGACTTAATAGAAATAGTCTGTAGAATCACTTTGATTGATTCTACGTGTCATCAGAGGGGGAAAGCCCCGCCCACTAGTGACCATCCCTCTCATTAGCATAAACAGCCCTGAGTGAGAAGCAGTCATCTGTCCACTAGAGTTTTGACCTGCTGAAGATAATGTCAGTGATTAAGAGGATCATTTTTTGTATTAGATACTACATATAAAGCAAACCCTTAATCAAGCAAAATACACTATGAATACACCCTGAATATATCAAGCAAAACATCTAGTAAGTGAAGATGAACTGGTAAAGCCTTTAATGACATCAGTCTGAACCATCAGCATTGCATTGCTATCATCCAGTAAAGTGTGTTTGTGTGTCTGCATCAGGCGTATCATCAGGTCTCGACACATCCAGGGTGCGGCTCAGGAGATCTGTACGGCCAGAACTCAATACAGAGTGATGAAAGAGGGAAATATTACTGCTAGGCCTCCACAATACTGGGAAAACATGTGATATTGTTGTTGAGTATTGTGGTATTGGTGTAACATTTCCCAGGCAAAATGCTCATTTTATTAACTCTCTTTTTAAATTATTAATTTAAAGCATTTACTTATGTAATGATATTAAAATAAAGATTTTCAGACTAAAAAAAGAACTGAAGGTGCAAACATTTAGTCTATAAAACACTACGAGTGAGTGAAAACCTCAGCAGATATCCTGACTCTGATTGGCTGTTGTCATTTTCCTCTCTGGTCTCGACTCCACCCATTAGAGTTTTCTATCAGCTCTGGGTTCAACTTTGAGCCTCTCCAGCCAATAGCTGAACAGCAGCTACTGGGGAGGCGGGGCTAAAGATAGCAAGGCCCCATCTTTCATTCATTTTCCTTCGGCTTAGTCCCTTTACCTTATCAGAGGTTGCCACAGTGGAATGAACCATCAACTTATCCAGCATAAGTTTTATGCAGCCGATAACCAATGTTTTTTGACCAACAGCTTTAGTCTTAGTTTACTGAAATACCCTTGTGATGCACACGTCCTGCACTCATGTGGATGCCAGCTGAGAAACCTGCATTCGCGGAAATCAAGATTCATGTTGAAGAAGCTCCAGAAATGATCCAGATGGCCTGAGTTTAAGCAGAACTGATGGGTGAGGCTTTCTTGGCAAAAAAGATATCCGGCAACCAAACGCATTAACTGTGTGTGGGTCTTGTTTGGACTGTATCTGTACTTCCTCGAACAGATGCATGTTTTTTCCGTTGGTAATGTCTAATCCTTTGGTAATGTGACCTCTAAGAGCTAAATTAAAAGCAACATCCTCGAATGATATTTTTTAAATTTATGTCAACATGTAACAGCGGCCGCAGCTGCCATCACGCGATGCTTTTGAGAAAATAAAATAAAAATGATAGGCCAGGACTTGATTTACTTATTTTTTTCAGCAGAGATTGAAAAGATCAGAACGTTGGTAGACCTAAAGAAGAGTTCGCCAATAGACAGAAATATTAAACGAGATGTCAAAAGCTGCGGATTTTTTTTATTTTATTTAAATAAAGAAAACATTTTTTATATATATCATATTATATTAACACATATAGGTAATGTAGCATCTTTCTCTGTTTTTGTCAAAGTTATTTTTGATTAAATCTATTCGCATTCAATACATTAAAACACTGCTGAAAATATGAATCCAGGCACTGCTCGCTCAGGATGGTAATAAGAGATAAAGTACAGAAGACAGGAAAGCCAAGAGATAAAGACAGGAAAAGGAAAGGCAACTGCTCTGATAGCAAACCACGAGCAGCAGAACAAAGGCATCTTACACTTTTCAGGTCCATTTTCAAAGCTTTTCCAGCATTTTACATGTGTGGCAAATTGCATTTACATACTTCCTCACATTATCCAAGATGATGATTATTGCTTATTAATGAAATTATTATTTTATTGTATAGTATAGTATAGTATAGTATGAGATTGTGTAATGTTGTATAATAAAGCATGGGGGAGTATTTTATAGTATAGTGTAATATTATATAGTATAGCTGGAACGGTAAAGTATAATTGTATAGTGTGATATGGTATACAAGTATAGTACAGTACAGTTCAGTACAGTACAGTACAGAACTATATAGTGTAGTATGGTATGGTATAGTATGGTATGGTAGCAATATTACATAAGTTAGTACAGTGTACTGTATAAGATGGTATAACATGGTGTAATATTATTTAAGCTAGTATAGTATGGTATAGTATAGTGTAGTATAGTATAACATGTTAATATTTTATAGAATAGTATAGCGTGGTATTATAGTATATATAGTATATATAGTATAGTATAGTATAGAATTGAATAGTATGTCATGAAATGGTATGGTATGGTATAGTACAGTATAGTAAAGTATAGTTGGTATGGTATGGCATTGTATTGTATAGTTTAGCTATTTGTATAGTTGTTGTAGTATAGTTTAGCACGGAATTGTGTAATATATAGTATAGTGTATATAGCATAGTATAGTAAGGCTTATTAATATACAAGTAGTATAGTGTAATATGGTATGGTATAGTACAGTGTGGTGTAATATTGTGCAAGTTAGTATAGTATAGTATAGTATAGTATAGTATAGTATAGTATAGTATAGTATAGTATAGTATAGTATAGCATTTAAATGAATCAAATGTATGACATGTACTCTCATTAATGTCATATTCTTGCATCTTAAATGGGTCATCTTTCATTTTAAATTTATTTTAATTTTAATTTTAAATGGCACAGATTTAATAATAAATAAAAAAAACAGACGTACAGACTTAAATACTTTCATTTTGTGCCAAAGCAAATAGATTTACTTAATTTACTTAAATAGTTATTCATCATTATCCCTCATTTAGTAAAATAAACTATTATAAAAAGCCATACAAAAGCACTGTATCTAAGCCCTTTTCTAACTTTGAAAACAGCAGATGAAAATGCCAGTGTTTTCTAGGACTTCCAGCACTTATATAAACCCTGTATATAAAAAGGTGGATATGGCACAGCAGTGGCATGTGCTAGACAACATGCAGACAATCACCAGCTTAAAACAGTAACAGCATGTCTCACACCTATAGGGTTAAGTAGAGTCTGCGTGACACTCACTTTGGAGATGGTTAGCGGCATGCTGAAGTCCTTGCCGCCCTGAAGTCTGAAGCCCCACGGGGAAGGTCCGATCAGGGACACGCTGTAGCTGCTGCTCATGGTGAATACTGCCAACGTCCAATTCACTGCCTGACAAACACAGCAAAGACACGCATTAAAAAGAGCACAGAGCAGTCAGACAAAACACAGTCTACTGGGGGCTGATCCAGAAATCAGAGTATGTGACATTAGGGCTGGGCGGTATACAGCTGAAGTCAGATTTATTCACCCTCCTGTGAATTTCTTTTTAATATATTTTACAAATGATGTTGAACAGATTCAGGAAATTTTCACAGTATTTCCTCTAATATTTGTTCTTCTGGAGAAAGTCTGATTTGTTTTATTTCGGCTATAATAAAAGCAGTTTTAATCCATTTTAAGCTCAATGTTTTTAGCCCCTTTAGGCAATACCTGTTTTGGATTGTCTCCAGAACAAACCACTGTTATACAATGACTTGCCTAATTACCCTATTGAAGCCTTTACATGTCACTTTAAGCTGAATACTAGTGTCTTGAAGAATATCTAGTCTAATATTATGTGCTGTCATCATGACAGAGAGAAAATAAATCAGCTATTAGAAATGAGTTATTAAAACTATTATGATTAGAAATGTTCTAATCCTTTAACAGAAGGCTAATAATTAAATATTTAACTGTAAATCATCACCGCAGAACGAAATGTGTAACAAAACATTAATTTTATTCCGTGTGTACTGCAAAATGTAAATAAGTGGGTGTGGCCAACTCACAGTGGGCATGTGTAAAGCTGAGAAAGGCACTGCAGAATGAACTGCCAACTTATCCAGCATACATTTTACACAGCTGATGCCCTTCCAGCTGCAACCCAGTACTGGGAAACACCCATACACACTCATTCACACAAAGACATTACAGTCAATTTAGTTAATAAATTCCCCTATAGCCCATGTGTTTGGACTTGAACCGGAGCACCCGAAACCCACGCCAACACGGGGAGAACATGCAAACTCCACACAGAAACACCAACTGACAGAGACTGAACTCGAACCATGATGCAACGTTGCCGTTAGTGGTAAGGCAGTCAAAACTTTGCATTGCAGTAAATGCACTTTTGAAAGATACTTTCACTTAGCCAGATTGCTTGCGTTTACACTTATACAAGAAAACAACTTGAGTTTGTTGCAACGGGCTTTGTGCACTAGGGAAACGCAACCTCTGCAAGCTTACGAACTGAGTGTGCGCGCGCGAGTCTGTGTCGCAAGCTATGTGTGTGCGCTTAACGAGAGCCTCCGTTGAGAACCGAGAACTGTGAAGGCTTTTATACTTGATGCTCTCGCCGGAAACACAAGCATTTCCCATGTGAGATTGTCCACTGTGCAGACGAATATCAAATATTGCAAATTAGAAAAGGTTGGTCAGTTAAATGACGCTACTGTAAGTAATGTTTATTCAGCAATAATTCTCCAGTACTGATAGCAGAACCGTTAAAGTCAGAGCTTATCGATACTTCAGTCTTTTATAATGTAGCACCGATAACGATAAAGTACCGAATTTCGGTACCCATCCCTAGTTTCCGTATTGGCTTTTAAACAGAGACACGCAAATGAGAGCAGGAGCACTCTGGTCAGTTTTAAAGTGTAAAATTACTCTTCATTTGTGGCTATATACTTTCCATGTACATAAAATATCATTTGTAAATATAACTTGATGCTGACAGACATCAAAATAAAGCCGCCTTTCCACTGCACACGACATTTGGACACGACTGTTGGAATACGCCCCCTTGTGGCAGCCGCACAGTATTTTCAGTGTTGTCGTGCACCACGGGGGAGAAGGTGATTCTCAACGGTGTCTGAAATAAAGGACTGCAAAAGCAAGAGCCTTTATTCTCTGTGTGTTTACATGGTTTAATGGATGCATGAATACTAGAAACTCATAGACCGCTAAAATATTGGAGGGAATGTGGAGACAACATTTAAAATATATATATTTATTACTTTCTTACTTACATTTATGAACAGAAAAGTTTTTCTTTAATATAGACTTTTTATAATTCAAAAAAATAACCAAATAAACTCCTACTTCTCATCTCGCGCGCACGGACCTGCTTGGACAACACTGGAATACATCAAGTGTGCCGCAAGCCTACGTTTGAGTGAAGGTTTCGGCCGTTAGATCGCCCCCTGGGGGCTGGCTGCAGTACAAGTCATAAAGCCCGCCTCCTCCGTGTTAATGAAGGAGACTTGAGCCCAAATAAAAAAAAATATTACACTTGCAATAAAATGTCCCGAAAGATAGTTCTGGTCGATTAAGGCACTGGTTATTGTGCTGAAATAGGTGCAGATCTTCATTTTTGTAAACAGTTTGTTTTTAGCAGTAATTTAATGCTGGGCGTGTCATCGTGATTGACAGCTGTGATTGACAGTTTCTCAAAGCGCGGCGTCTGAGCTTCGGCAGGAGACTGAAGTAGACTGAAATGTTATTATTCGATTTCTGTGTTATTTTACTATGACAAAATGAGTTCAGCAGTAAACTATAGTTTCTGACATACATGATCCTGGTGGAACACTGTTTATTCGCTAAGTTCAGGGCTTTTTTCGGGCTTTATTAGTTTGCTGATACACGCCTAGCCACCCAGATAGCAAAACACAGTTCCGGCTAGATTCTCGCCTGCCGGAGACTTATCTCTTAGAGCTCAGACTGACTAATGTTACCTCTGCTGGACCTACTCCGGATGCCTGGACTCACTACCCAATTCCAGCCCGAGTCAATCGAGCCAGATGCGGCGGCCGAGCGAGCAGGCGCTGCCGCATGCGAGCCGGAATCAGCCCGCGACGCCGCGAGTAAGTTATGCGATGCGGCCTGGAGCTGGCGCGATTGAATATATAAACCCCTCATATTTGTTAACGTTATTACATCCATTTGTGTTGATATGACCGCAAACGCATGCTGAGAAGTTCGGGGGGCGTGGTTGATTTTACATAAAGCGTTTGGTTGGAAGCTCGACTCTGCTCATTTTCGCGGCTCCTCCTCTGGCTCCATCAGACAGTCCTTCTGCGCATGTCTGGCTCCAATTTCAGCAGTCTTTTGCGACAGTTTGTGCCCGTCAAGCAGGCGTTTTGCCCTCAAGGCGTTCAATGGGGAAAAGGGCTGTCGCGTCGTCCATATTTTTTACAGTCATTGGAATACATCATATCCGGTCGGCAGGTCGCATACGGTCTAGTCGCAGGAGTTCAAATATTTCAACGGATCCGCAGCTCAATTCGGATCTGAATTTTCTGCGTACGGAGATGATCGGAACTCAACGCAGCTCCCGGACTGCTCTCCATTGGAAATGAATGACTTCCGGTCTGTCGCTTGTCGTGTGCAGTGGAAAGGCGGCTTAAGAGTTCTCATCTTTGGCCCATATAAATGAGTACAGATGTATCCGCATAACAGACTGATCTGGAAAACACGGTCTAAATGCATCCAAGAACAAGTTGGTTCATAGTCTAAACTTATCTCGCAAGATAAAACAAAAGAGCAATCTCTATTTATATAGACACGACAGGAGGGGGCCGATCTCCATGTGCACAGGAAAGTATTTTAAGAGCTTATGGGTGAGCGAAACAGTTGTTGTGGAGGTAAAACCCTGGTAAAATCCAGCACAAGCCAAACAGAAAGATTCCAGAGGAAGGGATTAGACAGCGGGGGTCTCGTTCAGGAATGTCCCACAGCTTTTAAAGTGGCAGCGTTCACCTGCTCTTTTCTCTCTCAGCACATCAGTGTGTGTTATTAATTGAGGACATGCACGAAGAACGACAACTGACACTTACAGCAACAAATCCTGAGAAAGGATACTCATACTCTGGATTTTCCATGCTCTGTTTACATTTGATGAATGGAAAGAAGATGGAGGGATGGCTGATTACCTTTTTATGAGTATTAATATGACAAGTAGAGTATATATACCCCTTTTAGCAAGCCAGTGGTCTTGTTTAGTTGACTCAAAAAAGCTGTAAACACAGTTGAAAAGAAATATTCTGCCTTGTATGGACAGCAAGGCAGTTGTTGAATAAACTAAATTGGACGTAGAGTATGAATGTGTGTGTGAATGAGAGTGTATGGGTGTTTCTAAGTACTGGGTTGCCGCTGGAAAGGCATTCACTGCATAAAACATATGCTGGAACAGTTATCGGTTCATTGCACTGTTGCGGCCCAGATTACTGAATCTCAGAGTCGTGTGACAGAGAGAGCTTGGGCCTCATCAGATCAGAGCTGTGAGCATCATGTTTGTCATCTGGATGAGTATTGAATGAGTAAGTGAAGCTGATGCAATGCTCTTTCCACAGCAAGCGTTACGGGTGCGGTTTTACAGAACAACATGTATTGAGAACATCCTGAATGCAGCCAATGAATCGCTTTTCCTCGCCTGAAGACATGAGGCCTGTGTGTGTGTCATGCTTTCTAACGGGTAGATTTACTCATCTTATCTAATCTAGATAAACAATGCTGTCGTTATTCAGACACAGTTAGAATAATAAGGGTGCAGCTTCATTATAGTCTCAGTAAACTGGACTTTCCAGATTTTTGTTCATATCTATTAGCTCTTAAAGGCATCGATATTGAACAATACTTCAAAAAGTCAACTTTAAAGGGATTGTTCACCAAAAAAAATTAATACTGGAATCATTTACTCACCATTTACTTGTTCTTAGTTTCTTTCTTCTGTTGAACACAAAATAAGATATTTAGCTGAAAACCTGTAACCATTGACTTCCATAGTATTTGCATTTCCTACTATGGAAGTCAATGGTTACAGGTTTTCTGCTTTTTTTCAGAATATCTATCTTTGTGTTTAACAGAAGAAAGAAACTGGTTTGGAACCACTTACGAGTAAATATTTAGTAAGTTTTCATTTTTTGGTGACCTGTCCCTTTAAGTGGATCAAACAAGCTCCAAAGGCCACACCCTGTTTTCACTTGAGGCCTGTTGCACAAACTGAAGGTCGCAAATTATGTTTAGGGTTGACAAAACAGAACAAGTTTGACCTAGTTAGGACTGGTTTAAGTGGTTTCTCAATGTTTGATATAAATATTCTCTGTTGACTCAAGAGTTTAATCCAGAATTTG